AATATGCTGACTCTCTGTAAACCGCTTAGAGAGGGCTGAAAGCCCTATGAAGCGGTATATAAGTCTACTGCTATTAATCCGGACCCTGTAATATGCCTCCCGGAGGTCAAGTTTAGTAAAGATGCGGCCCTCTGCTAATCGAGCCAACATATCTTTCATCAACGGGAGCGGGTAGAGGTGCTCAATGCAAACCGCGTTGCTATTCCTAAAGTCAACACAGAGCTGTAATCCTCCATCTTTCTTCTACCAGAATATAACAAGAGCTGCCACCCAGGAGCAGGCTGGTTGTATAAAACCCCACTTAAGATTATTTTCGATGTATGCTTTCATCTCGCTCAACTCCTGAGGGGTCATCAAGTACATTCAGGATTTAGGTAGCTGTGACCCAGGGATGATCTCAATAGCACAATCGGTGGGCCTGTGGGGAGGCAAGGTGTCACAACCTTGCTCAGTAAACACATACCACAGATCGTCATACACCAGGGGATATGGTGCCTCTTCCCCCTGCCCCCCTTGTTGGACCCCAACCCGACCCAGCGGTTTTCTGCATTCAGGATGATTGGAATAAGGAGGTCAGGTTCCAGTCAGGCAAAGAAGAACAGACAAGAAACCAAACCAGGCAGTTCTTTGTATTGTCACTATAATCCCGCTCTGGTACGTTTTGACCAACACCCAGTGACGGCAATGATGAGATGAAGTCAAGCCTGCATCCCGGTGATTCCCTCCACCATTTAAACCCTTTCGTGCCACACTCACCGCCCACTCACGCTCAACACGCCCCGGTTGCATCACAAGTCATGTTGGCTTGCAGTCCTGTGCAAACGTCTGCGCCGCTTTGCACTCTGCACCCCTTCCACAAAGACATCAAAGGCACCGTTACTCCACTGCAGTTACACTGGGCCAACCATCAGCTGTTTGTCAGCACCAGCGGCCCAGCCATGACCAGGATCCTCTGCCAAGAAGACCAGTTAGCTCCAAAGCTCCTCAGTATGTCCAGCGAGGTGCGGAAAACAGGAAGGGAAGCAGGCGAGCAGGCAAAGTAGGAGACCCCTCCGTGAAGTGCCCCACCAGCAGAATGGCAGCCATGAGCCACTGAGAGCACCAGGGCTGACACAAAGTTTGTATTGTTATTCTAGTGGTTTTTAGTTTGGTTTTTGTGGCAACACTGTTTAGAGGTTTCTGACCTAGTTTTCCTAGCACAACACTGTCTCAGTGTAGTTCCCTTCCTACACTAGTTACTCTGGATTGTGCTAGTTAATTCAAGCACAGTTTAACATTTCAAAGCAGAAATGTAAGTAGGAAGACCTGAAGTACAATCTCTATTGTTCACGTTTTCAATAGTTAGTCCTCCATTTAGGATTGCCCACAATCCTGACTCTTCCACTTGCAGACATTAAGCAGAATGCCAGGGAGATGACATGGGCCTCATACTACCCCAGGAAGCCTGGGCCCTCCCCCTGCCCCACCAGGTAGAATGATGGCATTTGCTAGCATTTTCCTCAGATCTGAGGTCATTTTATTTAGATTTGAGGTCGGTTCCTCCAGCACAAGGGGATTTATTCCCTTTCCTTGCATAGAGGAGAAGGGAAATCCCCCAGTGCACTAGGGGAAATGGACCTCAAATCCAACATCCTCTGCTTGCAACCTTCCCTGTCAGCTTCCCAACTGACTTTCTGGGGAAGCCAGCAGAGAAAATTGAAAATGGGGAATGGGGAGTGCAACATTTTTACAACATTTCACCATGGCCATTTTACAATGCCTGGAAGTGTTTT